CCCTGTGTGTCTCCCAGGTGGGGCTGCTGGTGCAGAATGGCCCCTGTGTGTCTCCCAGGAGGGGCTGCACGTTAGTGGGAAACTCAGTGGGCCCCTTCTGTGGGTGCTGTGCTGTGGATTTTTTTGGGATGAGAGCTGCTATGCAAATTGAAATAATCAGTGATGCCTTCATATTGTTAATATTTGTTTCGGCTTGATGTTGTAATGGATAACATTTCTTGTGTCACCGGTTCTTTTACGATATGCAAACACTTGAATATATTTACAACACAGGTTGTATATTTGAATCTTAACTTTATTCAGTAATATTTTTTAGTTTTTTCTTGCAATTTCTTGTCGTTTGTAGTGATCAAGTGGGATTTAACCTACTTCTCATTCTGTGTTCCAACAGTATGTTTCCTAAGGGCTTTTATACATTCCAGTCCTCAGTATGCCTTATTGACCATTTGTCCGTAATGCATGTGTAGTACATGGTTAAACTGTACTTCATTAAAAACAAAATGTCTCTGGTTCCAATAAGAAATGAGCCAATATTAATTAATGCGAATATGAAAGATGCATGTGAATTTCTAACTTGTTTTATTATCTAATTTGTTTTACCCTTGTGGGGTCTCCTCAGCGAGACTGAACTCGCTTTGACTTACACACTTGGAAACTAGAATTAGGAATTAGACATTTGTTTGGCCAGTTCTGTTTTCTAATCGCCGTGAGAGACCAGAGTAATGTTCATGCCCACAGCTCACAGGGACCGTGAGTATGAAGATTGATCTTAAAAAGACACCACAACCCTAAAAGTTGTTCTGTGTAAGAAAGATCACATAAATATTTAAATAGTTCAAGAAGGTGTGTGACACACTGTTCAAATCCATTTAATATTTAGGAACAAGTACAGGTTTATTCCCTGCTGAAAAGGAACACAATTTTTCAGCTGTGGAGCCTTCTTTGGGAGTTCTTCACACACCCAAAGAAGACTCCACAGCCGAAACGTTGTTTCTTTTCAGCAGGGAATAAACCTGTACTTGTTCCTGAATATTAAACGGATTTGAACAGTGTGTCACACAGCTAGGCACTGGATTCTGTCACATGAAAAGTCAGATGATTGTAACTTCTGATCTCTGGTGAGGCGTCAGGGGCCGCCGGTCAGTCACACTCGTGTTCTCCACGGTCTCCAGGGTCTGAAGCAGAACTGGGAGGTGCTGCACCGCCAGTACCAGGGCCTGTCCGTGGTCACCGACACCACCCCGAAGAAGAACCGCAAGGAGAGGCTGGAGCTGCAGATGAAGCAGCTGGAGGGGAACATCGAGCTGGTCGAGAAGCACAAGACGATTTACATCGCGAATCAGTGAACTCGCCGCACGCGGCGCCGGACTGGGGAGAGCTGGGAACGATTCAAATAGAAGCGAGTGCTTTAGGTGACAAGTGTTGTACTTGAGTTCCAGCTAAACATGGGTTATAAAATTTTATTCTGAAAAATACAGCTACCTTCTTTTGTTTTATTTGCCGTTTTTACTCATCCAATATACACACTGGCTTTATATTATATCATTAAATGCAACGTGAGCGAATTTCAATGGAAGTGTGGTCACGGGGATCACAAGCTGTGTGCTCAGTCCCCACGCGGGCAGGTGGAGACTGGGCTCTGCCTTTAGCTGGCCGAAGTGATGCAGAGCCAGCAGAACTCGGGGTCACAGGTCACCGTCCACTCACTGTGACCCGCTGAGTGCTCTGAGCTTGCAGCCCTCTCCCACCTGCAAGAACAACAGGACCTGTCAAATAAATGAGCATATTTGATTCGAGCTTTACTTCACTTCTAACTAGCTGAGCAGACGTCATGCCCAGTGGAATGCCAGCACTTAGGTCTTCTCCCGGCATTTTCAGCTGATGGTGAGTCCAAACTTAAATAATATAATGTGTTTCTCTGTAATAGCAGAAAAGTTTTTGTCTGTTCCTATTGTTTTCAATTTATTGTTAACTGCAGCAGGAAAGTGTACATCAGAGCCTGGTTTATACCCTCTAAATCAGATGTAAGCTGGCATTCCTCCTATTGATAATCCAGTGTAAATAGCGGAGTGTCAGGATTTGTCAGTAAGGCAAGTAAATCGAGGTGATCCAGCTCCTTTTCCGCTCTGAGAATCTCCTCTGGACGTGTCCTGGAAGACACTGGGGGATCGGCTGCAACAGCACAGCTGTGTCCTGGATTCCTGGAGCCTTATCTTATCTTATCTCCTGGACATTACGCAGCGCAGAAAAGGTTTCTGTTGGTTCATTATGTTGCATGTTTCTACAAACTATTCACACTACTGTATTTATCTTTTCTCAAAGGGAATTCATAAAAATCTGTGGATGAACTCAAAAAACTTTATTAAACAAATTTGCTTAACTTCTAACTTCAAGATATTAAATTAAGTCGTGATAATTTTAAAAAAAGCAATTAATCTCAACTTTGCAATTTTGCATCAGTTGAATAGCACTGTGATTTATGTGTTACAAAACCTTGTATTACACAAAACCCAAGGATGCTTTTACTAAGACAAACAACAAACTACCTCTCGCCAGAAATTTCCATCGAAGAGTTCTGGAAGTGCGACGTGTTACAGCCGTCAAAAACCCTCACAACCCACAGAATTGTACTCTGTTCCATAACATCTCCAAGACCCTCTAAACCATTCATTGTAACAAGTGCTCAAAATGTGTTCTACTAGAAATACAACATCAGAATTGTTTCTTTTATTCTGTGTTCAAAATGTAATAAAAAGTCTGTTATTAAAACGCAGTACATGTTTCACTGTGCCCCTATGTTTTTGAAAAGGAGGGCACCACTTATTTGCCTCTTTATTCCAAACAGTGTGCTGATCCTTGCTACACATCCTTCCCAACTGCATTCTAAAAAGGTGTAGGTCTTCCAAAGAGGTATTTAACGATTTCCAACATCTGTTCTGTTTAATTGTCATTTAATAAATCGGAGTCATCTTGCAGATGTTTGAAGAGTGTGATGTGCAGCCGTCTACTGTGGTTAGGACACACGACCACACTGCCACCCGTTGAGACGCCAAGCCAAACCAAGAGAGAAAATCATGTCCTCCTGCTGCTCGTGTAACAGCAGCTCTCTAGCGAGATGAGAACATGACCCTTGTGTTGCGGAGGCCCTGCTTGTTGAACCCGAGTCCCACCGGGGATTTGTGGGATAAACTAGAATCATCCGTGCTTTCAGGCACAGTCCCAATGAGAGCAATGGCAGAGAATACGGCAAAACCCCACCTGAAACCAGGTGCAGAGCGTGAGTCACAGATGCACAGCCTGCATGGCTTCTAACACACTGCTAGCCCGTGACTTTCACAGCAGACCCCTGTTAGCCTCCCTGTAGATGCCAAACATTCATGGGGACAACGAACTTAGCCGCATCACGTCGGTTCAATATGGTGTCAGTGCACCCGCTACAAAAAAAGATGGTCACTGTCCACAGAACTTTTAAATAATGTGTAAAAACATAAGAAAGATCACAGATGGGATCATGGATCCTGGAGTTGGACAGTCTTTTCAGAGTGGAGAGCAGGGGTCTGGTCTGGTCTGGTCTGGGGAGGAGAGGAGCTGAGGTCTGGTCTGGGGAGGAGAGGAGCTGAGGTCTGGTCTGGGGAGGAGAGGAGCTGAGGTCTGGTCTGGGGAGAGAGGAG